CAATCGTTCGAATGTTATTTAAATAGTGAATATTAAAAATAATTTTTGCGATAGCGGGACATTACGTATATTCTGTGAAGCAAAAAATCACAATTTTGTGTCTTATTTTATTATACGATCAAGTTTTGAAAAACTTCCGGAACTGGTGCACATCAGTAATGCAATTAAGTTAGAATAAAACAAGTATAATTTTTGTTTCATTTTAACTTATTGCATGAATGTGCAGGGACTTCTTCGAAAAATAATAGACGTCATAGATGGTATATGCATAAAGCTTCTAGAACATTCTCACGCATGTTTCAAAGACGTCATATATACACGGTCAAAAGACGTGAAAAGTAGGAATTTTAAATGTCTTTATCTAAAATGTCTTTATCATTAAAACAAAACGTTTCTATAATAGTTTTTTAAACGTTTTTTTATCGGAAAAGAAACGATTCATCGAACGTTTTTCGAATGGACATTTTAACTTATGAGAAACGTTTCTACAAAGCGGTTATAAAACGTTTCGGCAAAACGCTCATAAAACATTTCTGAAACGTTGTACCTATGTACTACCTGGGATACTTACACAGTAACGAAAAAACAAAAGTAACTGTTACAGGCTAAACACCTTTTGTAACAATGGTGCAACGGCAATTTGCGTTTATTCTCTGCACATACTCAAGAATTGAATAGTGCTCGTACTCAGGCATTGCCTGCTTATGCCATTGCTTCGAAAGCTGATCTTCTCAACTCAACGTCATGCGGAAAGGAGTTGAAAAATTTTCGAGACGCTGTCAATCAACGAATACTGTGGAGCTTGAAAAGTACATAAAATTTTAAATTATAACTGAATCGCTATTAACTCTATTTACTCCAATCTAAAATCTAGAAAGCTAGTAAAAAAGACATACCACCCATCTTTAGCCTATACAGCATATTTATATTGATCAATTATACAATTCCATTTAAATTAAATATATTAATCAATATCGTTTAATCTTAAATGAATAATAATACTTATGAAATATTAGTGTAATAAATTAAGAGATCGCATTTGTGCTTATTTTATTGTATATTCATAATTTAAGATGTTATTAAAACCGAATATTTTCTATTATATATGTATACAAAAATAAATTTTGATCTTACAATCTGGTAAATTTTTCGAAAAATTGTTTTACAAGCTTCAGTTGTTCAAATGTCCCTACAAAAAATTTAATCTATATAATCGTTCTTTATTCTCTCTTAATCCTAAATGAACAGAATAATTCATCCTTAAATTCGACGCCAAATTTATAATAATCCCCCGTATATGTAGAGTTATGTAAAAGTTATAAGTTATGCAAAAAGATAAGATGATTGCTTATGCATTTTTTCAGCGAGAGATACAATGAAAAATATAACAGAATCTTTAATCCCGTTCTTATTAAAAATATACATTTATTAAATTCAAAATAATTTAATTAAGGAAATTAACAATCTTGATGGACTATAATAAAGTAAAGCGATGTATAGGCTGTGTACACAGTATATAAGCTGAATAACATCAGTAATGTTTTATTAGACCACGTAGAAACGAAATAATCTCCTCGGTCAATTATCGTAAACTGACTGATTTATCGAGTGGAAAATGTCCATGCCGTACGATCGAGAGCGTTTCCCTTCCTGTCGTATATACGGTATCGGAGTTAAAAGGTTCTCGCGCACTGACCGACGGTAAGTCGAATCTCCCGGTCGTCGACAGAGATGTCGCTCGCACCGCTGTCAGACGGTGCACCGTGCGGTCAGTCGTGCAGTTTCCCGCGCGCGCCACGTCAGCTGATCGGCGCCTCCGGAGCCCCCCCCAGTCGCGAGATGTCAACTGCCGCACGCAGGTGGTGCTCGAGTCCGTAATGGCGTATGACGGCTGAGGAGAGCCACGGGTGCGAAACGCGCACGGGTGCTCCGAAGTTTTTCCGCGTGTCCGCCAACCAACGCCGCACCGCGCGGGGGTGGTTGATCGAAAAGTGCCGCGGCGCGTAGTGCACGTGTGTGGGGTACGGTGTGGCCGCGTTTAAGATGAGCGCGTCGACCGTCGGCGTGCTGCCGTCGTACCAGCGCCTCGCGAACGGCGTACCGGTGCCGTTGTTCACGAGACGGTCCTTCCGTCCGCGCGAGAAGTACCTGATCCTCCTGGTATTCATGACGTTCGGCGTCGTGTGCTTCGGCGCGTTCTTCTACCTGCCGGACTTCCGTAACGGCGGCGCCGCCGTCAACAGTGTCTACCGCGTGTACCAAAGTATGCAGAAGGCCGGGCCGGAGCTTCTGCTGCCGGTGCCGCCGCGCGCCTCCGCCGACGGCCTCAAGGACTCGCGCCTGTCCGCGATGATCGGCCATCCGAACGCGGTGCCGCCTGGCCACGAGGGCCACGATCACCAGGACGTGCACCTCCTCGAGGACAGGCAGAAGCTGCAGGTGCGAATTCGCGCTCTCGCGCCTTCTCGATCTCGACCGATCCTCTCGAACGCCTTCGCCTCGAACGCGAGGTTCCCTTTATCGTTCGGAAAATAATTTTCTCTCGCGACACCGCGTCAAATTCCCTCCGGTGAACGGCAGCCCGTCAAGGTAGAAAGCACGGGGGCTGAGACACGCTCCGTTTGCGCGCGCCAGGTCGTGGCTCCGTTTGTTTACATACGGCCATTGTAACGTACATGGCTGACGCACGTGCGCGGACCTCGCCGCGCTGTCACTTCGTTCACGATTCCGTATCTCAATGAACGATAACGATCTTAATTCCGTTAACCACCGTTCGTTTAAGATAAGCGAACCGGATACCACGCGAATTGGCGAATATTTGATATTAATATTAATTGGTAACATTAGTGTCTAATAATAATTTAGCGTGATAATCGATCTCGGGGCAACGTGGCAACGTGGTATGATCAACAGCTGGCATAGTTAACACGATCATAGATCGCGTTCAATCGCGATTTAAGCTATTAATCTCTTTGCTCCCTCGAAGAATGCGCGCATTTTGAGATTGAAACGTCGTAGGAGTGTCTCTATTCGCACATATTGAAGACGGTGCTCGAATTGTTTTATTTCGTTCGAACCCCAGCATAGTTCCCTTTGTATCGCTTATTTTCTACAATCCTGTATTTTTCCACCGGATGCAGACATTTTAAAGCGGCTCTCGCATTTCGGTGCAACGTAATATGATCA